GTGGCCGTCCAGGACCACGGCCAGCCCCCTCTCTCGGCCACCGTCACGCTCACCGTGGCTGTGGCCGACAGCATCCCCGAAGTCTTGGCCGACCTGGGCAGCCTTGAGCCCTCCGACGATCCTTACAACTCTCACCTCACGCTGTACCTGGTGGTTGCGGTAGCCGTGGTCTCCTGCGTCTTCCTGGCCTTCGTCATCGTGCTTCTGGCGCTCAGGCTGCGGCGCTGGCACAAGTCAAGGCTGCTGCAGGCTTCCGAAGGTGGCTTGGCAAGCATGCCGGGTTCGCATTTTGTGGGCGTGGACGGGGTGCGGGCTTTCCTGCAGACCTATTCCCACGAGGTCTCCCTCACTGCTGACTCGGGAAAGAGTCACCTGATCTTCCCCCAGCCCAACTATGCGGACACACTCATCAGCCAGGAGAGCTGTGGGAAAAACGATTTGCTAACATCTGTAGATTTTCATGAATGCAAATACGAAGTGCCAAGTATTCAGGTGAGCCCAGCCCTTCCTTTATTTCAGTGAGGAATTTGTTTGCATGATATTTCTCTATTATTTTGCAAAACCAGTGTTTTAAAAATAGGGATTTAAAAAGTTTTATAGAAGTAAAAATGAGTTTCCCAGTTTCCTTCAGTGGTGATACTTTAATGCAGAACGCATAGGAGATAGTATCATTTCTTTAGTGAAAGCCTATGGACAAGATTATGAATAAGTGGTCTATTGCATTTTATAATTTCCACCTACTTTCCAATCTGTTTTCCAACCTACTTTCTTAAATGAGAATGAATCGAGTCTTTCATATTGCACGAGGTTAGCAGGAATAAAACAAACCTCAGCTGCCTTCTTGGGATTCTCTTTAGCATTCAAAAATATAACAGGTTCTGAAATATTTCTTCCATGTGAAGACTTTTCTGTGCCTGATTCTGCCTTCATGTACCGCAGCTTGGTGGTCCTAAAAAATCTTAATTGCTTCTTGACCTATTTAAAGTATAATCATCTATTAATGCAGTGGTAGTGGAAAGTTAGATTTATGCCTAAAGAATGAAATGTGTGTGTATCACAGTTCACTAAGATCTATATCAAAGACAGATATCAAGTCTAATGCCACACTAAAGGCCATCAGACAAAGCCAATATACTATGTCAAATGTCATTTGAAGTGTTGTCATTGGCATTTGTGACAAAGGCATTTACATGTTTTAACATAGAATTCCAATTTGCTGTTTTAGTGGAATAGCTAGATGAAGTGTGTCTGTGGGCTATCAAAGTGGGAGATTGGGGATACTGGCTTTGTCTCAACTGTCTCATGTACTCAAACTGTAGGCCATCTTATGTACACAGATCCTAGACCAGTAGTTGGTTTTATTCATTAAGTATGTTGAAAAATTCAATTGGAAGTAACCCAATCTGGGATTAACTACTTCCGTGTTCTTTTGTATAACATTAACTACTTCCGTGTTCTTTTCTATATCAAGTGATTGCCAGTGAGAAGGGGTGGATGACAAGGTAACCTTGATTCCAGAGACCTTTGAGTATTAATTACAATGACACTTTTAGCCAGATATGGTGTTACAAGCTATAGTCCACCTGAATGGGAGGCTGAGGCAAGAGGACAGCTTGAACCCAGGAATTGGAGGCCCTCCTAGATAATATGTAAGACTCTGTCTCTTAAAAGAAAAAAGACTTCTTTTTAGACTAGTGTTGTATTTGGTGGTACTTTGCACATGATCGACTGTACAATAGTGGTGGGGGGGGATACATTTTACAAGTGCTGCTGTGTCTACATTTCAGCTGTAAAATCACTTGGGGTAGAAGACAATGTTGCTGACACTAACAATGTTACCGAGGGAAGGTCCTGTGGCAGAAATATGGTTATAAGCTGTTTTGTAAAAGAAAATCTCCTGGGCAGGGCGCGGTGGCTCACACCTGTAATCCCAGCACTTTGGGAGGCTGAGGCAGGTGGATCACGAGGTCAAGAGATCAAGACCAACCTGACCAACATGGTGAAGCCCCATCTGTACTAAAAAATACAAAAATTAGCCAGGCATGGTGGTGTGCCTGTAATCCCAGCTACTCGGGAGGCTGAGGCGGAGGAATCACTTGAACACGGAGGCCGAAGTTGCAGTGAGCTGATATTGTGCCACTGCACTCCAGCCTCGTATCAGAGTGAGACTCCGTCTCAAAAAGAAAAAAGAAGAAAATCTCCAGACCAAAATTTATTAGATGCATCAAATTATTTTTTGGCAATGGAGAGACATAATCCCTAAACTCAGCTGTTGTAATCAGACTTTCCAGGGATTGTTTCCTTGATTTCTGAGGTCATCAAAGAATGTAAGTGCAGAGGTAGGAAGCAGTGCTTCAGTGCAGCAGACCCCAATGAGTTTGTGTTTTGATGCTGCATATTATCCCCCTAATAACTTTGAAGATGAATGTTGTATTTTGTAACCAGGAAAATGATTGTGTAATGAGTAGTAGAGGAATAGGTTATTGCCTGTGATCATTGAAATGAGAATCACCTAATATTCCTGTAATGAAATCACTGAAACTATTGGGAAAGGAGATGTATGTGAAAATAAATATAAATTGCACCTTCTAAAAGGCAATTTTGGCATTAATGATATTCTCCAGAAAAAAAAGTTGAAAACAATTTGGAGATACTTAGAAAAGTGAGAAAATGTTAGGAACGATGAAAGAAAGATAAAATGTATCCAGTATATTGTTAATAGGCAAGTATGCAAAATTACTCTGCTCTGAGGTGGTTTAGGACAAGTCTGTGTTATGGCTAGCTTTGTATAGACAGTGCATGTTTGAAGATTGGGGAAAGCTTATGTCAATAAACAGATGTTTACTGAATCCACATGATTTGCCTAAAAATCTTCAAAGTTAGGATGAATTCATTTCCAAGAGTACATCTTTAGACATCATTAAATATATATACGTATCCACGTAGTTTTTGTTCTTTCAGTTAGGCACACAAATACGATTACTGCACTGGTTAAACTGAAGCAGCAGAGGCTGTAGTTTCCTAGTGCTGACTCTGGGCGCCGCTGTTGGCCAAAGTGGAGAGCCTGGAGCTCCAGATCTCCTCGCGCAGCCGCAGGGCACTTTCCGGGGCAGCCCCAGCTCAGACTCACCAGCACCAGCCTTTACACCGCTTCCTCCTCGGAAAAAGAAGAATCTTTTCCTGAACTGGAACTGGAACTAAAGGCCTTTCGGAGATCCGAAAATCTGCAATACAGAGGTTATTTGTAACCCGGCGTCTCCAGGCTGGTGAGCAAGCTGAGGAGAGCAAGAGGGATGGAGAGCTGCGCCGGGGAGCGGGGCCGGGCTGAGAGGCGACCTGGGCTCTTTCTCTTCCTGCTGCCTTTGTTCTGCCCGGCTCTCGGTGAGCAGATTCGCTACAGGATTCCCGAGGAAATGCCCACGGGCTCCGTAGTGGGGAACCTCGCCAAGGACCTGGGGTTCAGCGTCCAGGAGTTACCGACTCGAAAACTGCGCGTCAGTTCGGAGAAGCCTTACTTCACGGTGAGCGCAGAGAGCGGGGACTTGCTTGTGAGCAGCAGGCTAGACAGGGAGGAGATCTGCGGGAAGAATCCAACTTGTGCTCTGGAATTTGAGGCTGTTGCTGAAAATCCACTGAACTTTTATCACGTGAATGTGGAGATCGAGGACATTAATGACCACACGCCAAAATTCACGCAAAATTCCTTTGAGCTGCAAATAAGCGAGTCTGCACAGCCTGGCACACGATTTATATTAGGATCTGCCCATGACGCAGATATTGGTAGCAACACACTGCAGAGTTACCAACTCAGTCTCAGTGATCATTTCTCACTGACAAATAAAGAGAAATCAGATGGCAGCAAGTACCCTGAGCTGGTATTGAAGACACCTTTGGACCGAGAAAAGCAGAAATCTTACCACTTGACTTTGACTGCCTTGGACTTTGGGGCTCCACCCCTAAGCAGCACTGCACAAATACGGGTTCTAGTGACTGATGCCAATGATAATGCTCCAGTTTTCAGTCAAGACGTATACAGGGTGAGACTTTCGGAAAACGTGTACCCGGGGACCACGGTGCTACAGGTGACTGCCACGGACCAGGATGAGGGTGTCAATGCTGAGATCACTTTCTCTTTCAGTGAAGCTAGTCAGATCACCCAATTTGACCTGAACTCTAACACCGGGGAAATAACTGTTTTAAATGTATTAGATTTTGAAGAAGTCAAAGAATATTCCATAGTTTTAGAAGCAAGGGACGGTGGAGGAATGATTGCGCAATGCACAGTGGAGGTAGAAGTCATAGATGAAAACGACAACGTCCCAGAAGTGATATTCCAATCTCTACCCAACCTGATTATGGAGGACGCCGAGCTGGGAACACATATTGCTTTGCTCAAAGTGCGTGACAAGGATTCCAAACACAATGGAGAAGTTACTTGTAAATTGGAAGGTGATGTTCCATTTAAAATACTAACTTCTTCAAGAAACACGTATAAATTAGTGACAGATGCTGTTCTAGACCGCGAGCAGAATCCAGAGTACAATATCACTATTACGGTCACAGACCGGGGCAAGCCTCCCCTCTCCTCCAGTTCCAGCATCACCCTGCACATTGGCGATGTAAATGACAACGCTCCGGTTTTCTCACAGCCTTCCTACATAGTCTATGTGTCCGAGAACAACCCTCCTGGAGCCTCCATTTCACAAGTCAGCGCTTCCGATCCCGATTTGGGACCTAATGGCCAAGTCTCCTACTCCATCGTGGCCAGTGATCTGGAGCCTCGGGAGCTGTCGTCCTACGTGTCCGTGAGCGCACAGAGCGGGATGGTGTTCGCGCAGCGCGCTTTCGACCACGAGCAGCTGCGCTCCTTCGAGCTCACGCTGCAGGCGCGCGACCACGGCTCGCCTGCACTCAGCGCCAACGTGAGCCTGCGCGTGTTGGTGAACGACCGTAATGACAACGCCCCGCGGGTGCTGTACCCCGTGCTGGGGCCCGATGGCTCTGCACTGTTCGATATGGTGCCACGCGCCGCAGAGCCCGGCTACCTGGTGACCAAGGTGGTGGCGGTGGACGCAGACTCAGGACAAAACGCCTGGCTGTCCTACCACGTGCTGCAGGCCAGCGAGCCCGGGCT